GGACCCAGGCCCAGGCTTCTCAGGCCAGCCCGGCCACCCCTCCCCGCCGCCTTCGCAGGCCCAGACCCAGGCTCCTCTCTGCTCTGGAGGCCGCTGAGTGCCCCCCACTTCCCTCTCGTTTTTGCCTCTGACTTGCCTCTGTCGTCCAGATCCAGAGCCACCCCCTCCCCACTTCCCGCTGGGATGGAGCAGCACCCAGTCCCGGCAGCTGACCTGTCTGGGTTGGGTCCTGGCACTGACCCTTTGAAAGGGCAGCTGGTTGGCAAGGTGCTGGGCACACGGGCTGCACCTCTGAGTGTCCTTTTGGCCTTGTTGGACCTCCTTTCCCGGGTGGAGGCCCGGTCGGGCCCATTAGGCCCAGGCAGGGAGGGAGTTAAAAGCCCTGGGGAGGTAGAGAGAGGGGTGGGAGGGAGTTGGACCTCTCCATGCAGGCCTGAACGGAGATTCACAAGCTAGAGCAGCCCCCCCCAGCTTCAGCTCCCCCTCCCCCTGCTGCCTGCTGGCTCCTGCTGGCTCCCCTGAGGCTGAGACTGGGACCCACAGGGGCCTGGAGCTGGTGGGGGGAGGGGTGGCTCCACCGGGCTGGCTGGCTGGGGGATGGGAAAGCAGAGCTGGGGGTCAAGATGATGGCAGGGTATAGGGCATTTGAGGCCTAGGAGCTGGAAGTCGCCAAGCAGTCCCTAGGACCAGCTCCTAAGCTGGGAGTGCCGGCTTGGCTCCTCTCTGACCCTGGCCTCCTCTCCAGGCCTCCCCAGGACATAAGCCTGGAAGAATTTGATGATGAAGACTTGTCTGAGATCACAGACGACTGTGGCCTGGGCCTCAGCTATGACTCCGACCACTGCGAGAAGGTGGGCAAAGGCTGGGTGCACGGAACCTTATGGGGAGACCTCTAGGTTCCACCTCGTGTTCCCTTGGGGTGTGGGAATGAGTCTGAACTCACTAGGAGCACTGGAATTCCTCTGATTGCCCATCAGCCTCTTGGCTCTGGGGCTTCCTTGGCCTTGATCCTCTTTTCCTAATACACACACTGTGGCCCCAGCACTGCTCTGGGGAGAGAGCGGTGCCTTTGCTTTGGTGCTCTTGTCCGTGGACCACGTCGCACAGCAATCTGGCCCCTCCAGCTGCCGGCCCAACCTCAGCCCTTCCAGGACTGCCTTCATCTCTGCAGTCTCCATCGGTCTCAAGTCTTTACCCTGAACATTTTCGTACCTTGTGTCTGGCTCTTCTCTTTCTGACTTTCCATGTTTGTTTTCATTCATCCTGAACAACAACTTCCATGTGGCAAGTATGGGAGGGGGGGCTTCAGGTGCTAGGAGTGGAACAGAACTTCTGTCCTTGGGAGCTTGCTGCCTGGGGCGGGGGAGACATGTAAGAGACAAGTGACTGCCCAAGTGTCACGGGCTAGATTTCCACTGGCACAAAAAGGTATGACTCGGGGAATCAGGGAAACTTGCCAGAGGAAAGTCAGTCATGTCCTGAGGTTAACTCAGTCAGGCGGTCTATCTCTCCATATATGCAATTACCCACTCTACTGAACATCCACTGTGCCCCAGGTGCTGCCCACAGCAGTGGTGTGTAGCGTGGACATGGCCCTGTCGTGGTGGAGTGCGAAGTCCGGTGGAGGAGACAGACCAAAAACCATGTATAGCAATGGTGAATTCTGTGTTAAAAGGCTGGCGGCGCACACCTGTAATGCCAGCTGTTCGGGAGGCTGAGGCAGGAGGTTCATAAGTTTGAGTCTAGCCTGGGCAACTTAGCAGGACCCTATCTCAAAATTAAAAGAAAAAAAAGGTTGGGGGAGCAGCTGGTGATGTAGCTCAGTGCTCCCTGGGTTCAAATTGCATACTAGGGCGGGGGCGGGGGGACTCTGCAAATGTGATGGGGTTTTGAGTTGAGATGAGGCTACACGGCGGGTTGGGGTCACTCTTTGTTTTGGTACCAGGGATTGAACTCAGGACCTTACACTTGCAAGGCAGGCGGCTAGGGCCACTCTTAAAATGAGTATGTTATCTGGTCCAGGAGTTTGGGCCCTTCCCAAGAAATGGAGTGATAGCTGTGTGACATCGGCAGATTTTTACATCACAGTACTGGTGGAGGGCAGTGGACAGGAGGACTTCTGCTCCCTGCTCTCCCCTCTCCGGAGTCTGAGACCCTGGGTCGCTGTTGTACTGGGGCACAGCCTTGCCATCTCCCCCTTCGTGCAGGACAGCCTTTCCTTGGGACGCTCAGAGCAGCCACACCCCATCTGCTCCTTCCAAGATGACTTCCAGGAGTTTGAGATGATTGATGACAATGAAGACGAGGAGGAGGAGGAGGAGGAGGAGGAGGAGGAGGAAGACGAGGAGGAAGAAGAGGAGGAGGAGGAAGAGGGAGAAAGGGAGGGCAAGGAGGGAGGAGGTCCTGGCTCAGAGGTGCCTGCAGAGGAGTCCCTTATCCCCTCACCTACCCTGAAGGAACCCCACAAGCACCGACCCACCACACTCTACCTGACAACGCTGGGTGCCCAGGTGGGTCCTGAGCGCACGTCCTAGAGCTGAGCCTTGGTTCTGCTCTCTCTGTTGGGAAGACACTCCCTCAGGTGAGGGCTGAAACCTTCAGGGCTACTGTTCCCCCCCCCCCGCAGGACTCCCTGAACAACAATGGAGGCTTCCTCCCTGCGCCTGCAGACACCTGGCCCCAGACAGCACTCTGCTCCCCAGCCCTGGAGCCCCGCAGAGGTAAGGGGGCACCATCGGACCCTGTGGGGAGGGGGCACTCCAGCCCTCGAGGTGACTGTGCCCCTCTCCACAGAGCCCCCTGGGCCCCTCCTGCCCTCAGAAGAGGCAGACAGGGAGGCCCAGGCCCTGCCCCCCGGTTGTGACTGCGAAGGGAACCCGGCCCCTGCACCGCCTGCTCCAGGCGGCGGCGGCGGAGCCTCGCCCTCTTCCTCGGACCCCGGAATTGAGGCCGACCTGAGAAGCCGCTCCAGCGGGGACCCTGGTGGCCGGCGCAGCAGCCAGGAGCTGTCATCACCTGGCTCAGACTCGGAGGACGCAGGCGCGCGCCTGGGGCGCATGATCTCCTCTATCTCGGAGACCGAGCTGGAGCTGAGCAGCGACAGTGGCAGCAGCAGCAGCGGCCGCTCCTCGCATCTCACCAACTCCATTGAGGAGGCCTCGTCGCCCGCCTCAGAGCCTGAGCCCGAGCCTGAGCCTGAGCCCCCACGCCGGCCGGCCTTCCTGCCCGTGGGCCCCGATGACACCAACAGCGAGTATGAGTCCG